AAAAATTACTTGCAGATCAACTTTCAGTGACTCATAACGACTTTCAGTGAATATCAATGACTATCGCAGTTACTGCCAAAGACGTTTATTGACTACCAACGACAATCAGTAAACCACTTGATTCGAGATTCCCATTGACTAGGTACCAAAGAACCCCATTGAAAACCAAATAATAAAATTATTTGCAGATCAACTTTCAGTGACTTATATTACTTTCAGTGAATATCAATGACTATCGGGAACTACCAATTGCCTACGACAATCAGTAAAATACTTGAAACTCGTATTGACTAGGTACCAAAGACCTCCATTAACAACCAAAGACTTTCAGTGACTATCATGCAAATGCTTCCAGGCCATCAAAGACTTCCATATTACCAGAGGCTTCCATTGACTACCACAAACTTCCAGCGAATACCAATGACTACCAACCTTGAACCTTGAACGCATTTATTGGCTCTAGGATGAGTATTGTGTCACTAAAAGGTAGAGATCATCTCTGTCACACTCGTCAAGAATCACATGAAGAAGGTTTTTTGGTCATATCTTTGTAGTCTGTTGACGAATGCCCATCAACCTGTTAATTGGTATGGTTGAATTAAGCAATGTCAACAACATGGTTGTATCGTATCTGTTAACGTAGAAGTATTCAATTTCTAAAGAAAACATACCCAGCGAGCACAAAAACATCTCAGAGATGTTAAAAGTACGAGATTTCGAGTCATTGAACCTCCACTGCGATGTTCTGTTCACACATGAATAGAACTATTATAGAACAGCCAATGTCCGCAGCAGGCGGCAATTATCTGTCTGTCTTTGAAATGTCACAAAACTACCTTCGCCCTAGTTCTTTTTAAAGCCTTTTCATGGACACAACAAAACATTTTCAACGCGTCTTGCGCACATTGAATCGCTGTAAAAAAAACATTTTTGAGGTACTTTTCTCAAGCCTTTTGTCAAAATGAACTTTTGCATTAGAATTCCATTTCCCTTGAATGAAAAAATGCATTAAAAATAGATTGAACATAAAAATATTTTCTTGATATGAAATTAGGTACCTTCTCAATCGGTTTCTGAGTAGTGCTTACTACACACAGACATATAATTGGAAATAGGTTTCCCAATTTTTGAAATGTTCTCCACAATGCATAATTTTGCAACTGCGGAGAAGCTGTGTATTGATAAATTCGTACTTTTATATATTGATTACACTGAGGCACCGAACAATACATCTTGCATCTGATGGTCATTATTACAAAATAAATAAGTCTTCTAACACAATAAACTTCACCAAATTCCTTTCTGTTCGTTAGCAGCGTGATGTGAGCGTGACACGTTCCAAACGCGAATGCCAATTGCGAACAAGAAGAACAAAATCGAAAACAAATTAGAATTCATCGTATTGTGACGTAAGCATGAGACGTTGTGGTGGGGCAAACAAAGAAAGGGCACAAAAGAACAAAAACAATACTTTCAATATCCTTCTAAGACCTCTTTGGGAAGTGCATATTACGCCTCAAAAAAAATCCTCATGCCTACATTTCTAAAACATCCCAAAACATCCCAGTGATACCTCTCAGTAGGCAAACAAAGAAATGCCACAGAAGAACAAAAACAATACTTCAATGTCCTTCAAAGACCTCTTTGGTCAGTGCATATTACGTCTCAAAATAACATCTTCATGCCAACATTTTCAAAACATCCCAAAATATCCCAGGGATGTTTGTGCTCGCTGGGTACACTCAGTATATAAACATGTTCCATTTCCTCGCAAGTTGGTAATTTATGTAGGTGATTCATTCAAGTGTATGAAGATCTGGGTTAAAGATTAACTACTACAAAAAGTCTCAATAAGGGTTTGAAGGACTCGGATAGGAAGTACAGATAAGATTCTCGAGGTAGGGATATTTCACTGTCTACTAGTAGCCTACTTTTACGATAGTAAAGACTGATAAAACAGAAATTAAACTCTTGCGACCCTCCTCTGCTAGATTACTTCGAAATGGTGCGTGACTTGAGGTTATCTAGAAATAATTCTTCGAATGCAGCAACGCGATTTTTTCTTGATACTTATCAATTCCAAGAGTTTTATCCTTGATTCGCCTCGTTTAGGTGAGTCACCCTGTAGCTATTTGCAAGAAAAAACCCTTATCCAAGGTTGAATCAGAGGTCCTTGGTATTTATATAATTTGCATAACACGCAAGGGGTGATATGGTGATTCACATCCATAAAAGAAAATAAGCAATAATATGTTGTAGTAATAGCTTCTCGTGATAATTTTATTCAAGAGACTGCTTCTAATTATTAGTTTTTTCATTATTTTGCAGACACTTCATTTGACATAGGATAAAACAGTTTTTCGAAGATATCCTAACCTAAGATTATTGGAAACCAAAACCACAAAGCCATCAACATATAACACACTTCCTAAATTTGATCCCAACTGTGTGTATGAAATGAAAATTCAACAACACAGTATAGTATAATCGATAAACTATATCATGTAAATCATTATCATCATCTCGCATTTGGAAATATTTCGGTCAAGACTCTGAGGTCTCCGACACCACGCAGAATCGAGCCGAGCAGTAACCAGTGACTAATTTTGATTACCTGTATTGAAAGTGGTGACTAGATTAGATTTAGAATGGGGCCTTCAGGCTATTTGCCTCCACACTGCGACCTTTTCAGATCTATTAGAGTTCTTCGGCTAGCCCCGCCTTCTCTATATGAGACTCCATAGGCTAGCTTTCAGATCCCCTGTGTATCTTTGGGCTTCTGGTTTTTCCTCACCCAGCGTAAGGAACCTTAGTCTTGACAAGCCCTCACAGTGGCAAAGTATGTGTACTGCTGTTTCCTCTTCTTCCTGACAGAACCTGCACAGCAGAGTTCTTCAGCCAGACCTATGGTACTCATGTGTTTGTTGAGCCTGCAATGCCCTATGAGAAGTCCCACTAGTATTCTAGTTGAACTTCGTTTCTGGATCAGTAGATATTATTCTGTGAATGTTGGCGATGGTTTTTTAATCTCGTTCTTAATAAACTCTTTTGCCTCTGTCTCATACCTGGCGAGTTGTTCCACCATTCTTGAGATTTGGTTTGCATCCATGATTTGATACTATAGTCTTTTGAATAGCTTTCGCAATACCACAGAAGGGTTCTGGGCCATTCAGAGCTTTGTTTGCTCCTGCTCGGGCAAGTGAGTCTGCCTCTTCATTACCCTGTATGTGATGGTACCCATGCTAGAGTCAGTCTGTTCTGACTGCCCAGTTCATTTAGGGTTTCTATGCAGTCCCATACTAGTTTGAAGTTAACTTGCATAGATTTGACTGCTTTGATGACCGCCTGTCTATCTGAATAGATTGCAATGGTTTTCCCTTCAAACTCTGGCCTTATCAATTCTTTTACGCAATGATGTATTGCAATAATTTCTGCCTGAAACACCGTCGCGTAGTTGCCTAAGCTCAATGAAATTCTTGTCTTTGGCTTGGCCCCATAAATACCAGCTCCTGATCCTTCCTCAGTTTTTGAGCCGTCCGTATAGACAGCAATGTCTGCATTGATAGGAGGTCCTTCCTTCCATGCCTCTCTGTCCGTTATACTTATTTTGAAAGTTTTTTCAAAGCTATATTCTGGAATTATGCCATCCGTTGGCATACGACTACCATAGTACCATATTATCATCGTTATTATTTTCATAAGTATTTTAATAATGAATTTATGAATGAAATACCACATGTAAAACAACTCATAGCGTGTCAGGAACAGAAGATTTTCTGCTGTGATTGACCATCAAACAAATATTATTCCGAGTAGCAATTCGTCTGTTTTCTCTCACAAATGATGATGGGTCTATATGCGACGCTTTTGTTCCAAAACGGAAGCTGGAAAAGTGATGACTTCCTGATGTTCTTCGTCGATATGGAACGACCGCCAATGGATAATATCACGAACCATACTATCACCTCATCCATATTGTTTTCAATTTATAGTTACATGCAAGTATGAAGGTTAGGTAATAGATTTTTACGGTAGTATCGTAAAGATTGATATTACGATATGAAATAGGAAACTTGTAGAAGTAGACATAGCCACCTATGTATGAGAAGAAATTTTCTTTGTGCCATAATTCTAGATTCTAGAATTTTTTTGAACTTTTGAGTCTTCTCTTTGTTGAAAGAATTCGTTTTCAAGGAACAAAAAATAGAAATGCTTGATGCAATACAGTTAGGCACATTTTCGTATGCTGTGTTGTTTGTGTAGGAAGCATCTGATGGACGAGAGACACATGAATAGCGTTTCCTGTCATTCGTTCAAGCGTTAAAAAACAATTGAAAATCGAAGGATGAGCCAGCAAAAAAAATACAAATTGAGGTCTGGGATAAGGGTTTCTAACACAATTAATTCGGAATTCAAAATTCATACTGAGGTTTGTCGATGAAATAGTCATTATTGGGAAGTATAGTTTCGAATTGAAGAACAAATCATTAATATCGATCGATAATCACCCTCATCAATACACTTGCTGGTTAAATAACTAGTACAAAGCACTAAGAAAACGTTGAAGTTAACAGTGCTTTTGTCTCTCTTCAAGATCATTAAATGTTACAGCGTTGCCACATTCGAAAATGTCTACCCAGGTCTACGGATTTTTCCACACCACCTTTTTTTCAAACAAACATGACGTGGTGGTACTGCCCATCCTCCTCCGCCCTTTGACTTCCAAGGCGCGCATGAACTACTCCAAGATCACTAGATTAGTGTCGCAGGGTTGCCACATTAGGATATTTCTCCCCAGATCTACGGATTTTTCCACACTACCTTTTATGAATTTTAGCGACATGTGGTGAACCCTACTGCTCATCCTCCTCCTCCCTATAACCTCCAAGGCACGCATTAACTGCTCCAAGGTCACTACATGAGTGCTGCAGCGTTGCCACATTCGGGAACCTTTCCCCAGATCTACAGAATTTTCGACCCTACCCTTTTTCAATTTTCAGCAAGATGTGGTGGACTCTACTGCCCATATTACTTCTCCCTCTAACCTCCAAGGCGCGGATGGACTGCTCCAAAGCAGAATACGACAGATGCGTGCGCATCGCGGATCCTTTGGTCAAGGAAGCCCACCTGGTGTTCCCTGATAATGTCAATGACATCGATCAAGTGTGCACCACGTGGAACCTATTCGTCGACTGTCTCAAAGCGTATACTGATGACTGTTTCACCGATCAACAGAGGAGGCAGTTCAACAGGGCTGTTGAAAGCCCCATCGAGAGCATACATCAGATGTGCATGCAGCCCAGTTATCAGAAGGGTAGGTATTTTTGGACTTGAATGATTCGACACCGAAAATATATCAAATGTAAGAAACTTCACGAACGATGAGATTTCCACAAGAAACTTAATAACATTTGGGGTCTAATCGATCGTTGAGTAAAATAAAGTAAAGTATTTTAGCATTTGTTAATTTCTAATGATTCCAAATGATTGAATTAGTTCAATTTTGGAGTTCTTCCGATATAAACTGGGCGTCAATTGAAACGTTAACAGTGAAATTTGGCATCAAGTTTGACTTCTCGTAATTTCTAAAATATTGAACGAATTTTGAATTGCCGCCCAGATTCTGAATGCCTTTTTCATCGTCTTCCGAACCATTCCTTACAGCTTCTTCTAAATTGATCAGGACCCGTGATACAGGGTGAAACAAAGTTTCGTGCATTTTGAAGAAAATTTCTCCGCCCCCCCCATTTTGTCGGAAGACCACGATGCTCATATTTCATTCGAGCATTTCATAAATAGCAACCATACCTTTTTAGGACCCAAATTACACTGACGTTTTCATGAAAATTGGCAATTGATATAACCTCTATGCATATCTACATTGTTTCAACAATACGTTGTTATAGAAACAAGGTATCGTTGTTTGTTTTTGTTGATGAGATGTGTTGATTTACTGCTCACTAAGGTAGAAAACTTTTATCATAGACTGCAAAGTAATAAATTATTGATTGTGTTCGAGTAACCTGGTATACATATCTGCTCCAACGCTTTCCTGAAATGTATAATAGCATCCATTTATGGAACTCCTATAAAATTAATCCATTTAAGAAAATACAAAAACATTTTTTTTTAGACAAAATGGGGGGGCGGAGAAATTTTTTTCAAAATGCACGAAACTTTGTTTCACCCTGTATCACGGGTCCTGATCAACTCAGAAGGAGCTGTAAGGAATGGTTCGAAAGACGATGAAAAAGGCATTCAGAATCTGGGCGGCAATTCAAAATTCGTTCAATATTTCAGAAATTACGAGTAGTCAAACTTGATGCCAAATTTCACTATTAACGTTTCAATTGACGCCCAGTTTATTATGTTTAATTATTAGCGTTGGTTGAGTTTGTTTTCTCTTTTAAAAACTCATATTTCGATGTTCGTGAATACTGTAGTTAAACGTTCTACCTGTCTGACCTATATATGTACACCTCAGGACAAGATCGACAGTTCAGATTGTATACTGCTGATTACAAAGAATGTTTCATTTTTATTATTTTTGTCTTGTTTATGTTGGAATCAAGCTAATTTTTCTGTTGAAGGTTGAAGTTCTTTGATTGTGATTATTGTTTATCATGGTAGGATGAACTTCTTGAATCGCTTTTTATAGAAGTCCTTTGAGATTTAACTTCAGAAAAAAACGTCAGAGTTATATATAGCTCCTTTAACATTCTGCTGCCGTCATTGGTGAATAAATAAATGAATAAATAAATGTGTTGCAGAATACTTACAATATGCTCCCTGCATCAAGAGTACTATCATCCAGAGGATGCATTGTGGTCATCAGTACGATCTCTTAGTGGAACTGGTTGATCAAGGAGACATCATTTCCAAATCGACACTTTGCTGGTACGTGACCATAAAATCTACCAAACAAGAAATACAGTGTGATGATTTTTCTTTACAAAACATATAGGAAGTTGGTTATAGATGTTCGAGAAATATTATAGGCATATTAGTTTATTTGAACTTCTGTAGGGTTGGTTATAGGGTTTGCTATCCCAAAATCCGATACCGGAAATCCCGGGGTCCTAGTGATATGTTCATACCAAGAATCTTGGGATCACATCCGATTAGAGCCCGGGATTTTCGGGATTAGTTTCGACCAATAAGACTTCGCTCTCGTCAAGTGAATCAGATTATTATTATTCGAAGTTCCTGAAAAAAAAGTTATCATGGAGATACTCGTGAGTCATATAAAACGTTTCTTAATAGTTTCAGAGGCAATAATTGATGAACAAGATGATGAGGAAGATAGAATTCCTCTTGCGAGTCAAGAGTCACCGAGTGTATCACTGACTTAACCTCTACACTTTAAGCAAAGATTACTGAAAGACTAGAATATCTTCTGTAGTCTATGCTATAAGATATCATCAAATTTAACAAAGGAAATTACCTTTTTCGAAAATGGTGACACCAAAGGTACATATCTTCTAACAACTATAAATACCACCCACTAGTGTAGAATATGAAAGAGTATTATCCGCAGCTGGTACCATTTGCACAAAAATCAGCACACTGTAATGTTCGGCCTTCTTTTCTCTTTACTTTTTGATGTATATAGATTATATTTTCTGTTCATATACGAGTATAATCATTACGTATCTACAGTATTACGGGATTGTATTATTTCTCCGGGATTGCAAACCCTAGTTGGTTAAGGATGATACAGTCTTTTTTCTGTGACGAAAAAAGTTTAGCATTTCATCTCTGTTGGCAGGTTTTTTATAACTTTTCATAAATTACTTTTTTCCGTGGGGAAAAAGTGAGTACTTTTTTCCCGTGGGAAAAAAGTGAGTACTTTTTTCCCGGATATATATATCACATATATATACACTGTTGATGGCTTTTGTTGTGCTATAGTTCCGGAAAATGAGTCAATAATACCGTTTCCGAACTGCAAGTCCTTTTATCTTCCATTCGACTTCGCGGTTACGGATATTACTACACAACCACTAAATTCGCAATTTTTTTAAATCATTATATTCCTTCATATACTTGTATTGAATGATTTCTTGACATAAGTACCTCCTCACTAACGAATCATATTTAGGAGTACATTCCTAGTAAGTAGTATAATAAGCCTTCAATATTTCTTGAAGATATATCGCTCTCGTCATTTAATAGGAAAAATATCGTTTTTTTTTCACCAGTTCTCATGATCGATTCAAGCAATGTGTCCAACGGGAAACGAGACAACTGTGCGATAGAGGAGCCACGAACGGACCAGCGAACAAATTTGCCACCGAAATCATCGATAAAGCTTTGAAGTTTCTTCAAGATCAATGTCTCAACTACATGTGAGTAGTGAAATCAACTTCTTTATTACCTACTTTGATCAATTTTGAGCGGCTACAAAATTTTGTTCGAGGTAACAAATAACTATTGTTTTACTAGGCAGAAAAGTACAAGATTTAATGCCGCAGCTGACGTTTCATAGCCTATAGCCATGTGAAAAATATTGTTTTCTCCAATTTCACGCAAAGTCCAAATAATCCATCATTTTTTGTTCACCCAGACACTGTCAATTTTGATTACCAATTAGATTCAAATTACTTGGAACGTTGCATAGCAACAAACATTTTCTGCCTAGACAGTAAAAGTACACCTTTTCTGCCTGTTAAGTGTAATTAAAAAACCACTTTTAATGTCATTTAGAGAAAAAATTATTTGGGATGTTTGAAAGCGGGACACCTCAATAAAATTTGTATCAATTCACCAATCTCGACGAAGTTTTTTCAAATTGTGGAGCTTGAAAAACTGTACTTTAGGGCGAAGCATGTTTTTTCTACAAAAACCAAAGGCCTCCTGTGTATATTTTTAGAGGTTAAAATTCAAGAAATCATAGCGATTATTATAACACTCTTTCATTAGCTTCACGACCTGTATGTATCTATATATATAAATGTAATCGACTCCTTTGGACTCGATTTTGACCCACTTCAAACGGACCGATTGATTTGAAATTTGGCAGGTGTACATAATTCTGTTGGCAATGCATAATACATTTTTTTTAACCAAAAAACAATATGACGGCTCCAAAATGGCGGACGGGTTTCATAATTATGATTCGGGTCTATTCAAAATCGGTATCTCGAGGTTGTCGATGTCGGACATTATGATCATTTCGTCAAAATTGGTAAATCCAAGATGGCGGATCCAATATGGCAGACGAGTTTTGTAATCTTGATCTTGAAATTGGTTTCTGGTGGTTTTCGGGGTCGGATATTATGATTATTTCTACAAAATTGGTAAACTCAAGATGACGGATCCAATATGGCGGACGAGTTTTGTAAATTTCTGATCGAATTCTATTCAGAATTCGTATCTGGTGGTTTCCTGGTTGGATAATACAAGATGGCGGACTAGTTTTTGGTATGCACTTTTAACAATCGATCTCACGTAATTTTCCCAAGAAAGGTTATTGCTGATAGTAATACCAAGCATCGAAATGGATGTCTTCTAAGATATGGTTACTCCTGACAAGCTTATGTTGGGCACAGTGAGATCGGCGCTTTTCTAGAGAAGAGACATGCTTGTGTTTTGTTTGCATTGAAATCTACCAAATTATTGGTTCCCCTTCCGAGATTTGTTGCCAAGTCCATATTTATGTTGTCAACGTTTCTTCTCGTTCGTTTCTGATTTGCCTGGCTGGTATTGGAGCCCTGGGAGAGAAGGCGGTATATGGAGGGTACTATCATCCGCGAAGCTGTGTACTGATATGGAGTAGAAATAGTGTTGGTGCTACAATTGATCCTTGCGGAACACCAGCATTTTTGATAAGAGAGTCAGATGAAACTCCGTCGACCACTACATGGAGAGACCTGTTTGAGAGAAAACTAGCTAGCAGAGAACATAGCTGGGGAGGCAAGCCATAAGATGGAAGTTTGGCGAGGAGTCCGTGGTGCCAGACTCGATCGAATGCCTTGGAGATATCAAGTGCCACGACTAAGGTTTCACCGTATATGTGAGTCGTAAGCGAGCAGCAGTTGATCTCTGATGACGGAAGCCATATTGCCTATCGTTGATAATACCTGAATGTTCCAGGTATTTCATGAGCTCGATGTTGATAGCTTCCACCATGATCTTTGAAATAATAGATAGCAGTGCGATCGGTCTGTAGTTGCTAGGTAGGGTCTTTTTGCCTTTTTTAGGAACTGGTTGTACTCTTGCAATTTTCCAGTTGGACGGGAATATCCCCAATTTGTAAGAGTAGTTTGAAACAAGTCTATTCTTACTAAGAATACAACTTCTGCTTTTTTCTTGTTTATTCAAATATTCAGGGGGTATAGTTTATCCAATATCAATTGCAGAATATTCCACAGTGTGCGGCGTCGGCGTGTTTGAAGTTTTCTTTGAAGTGACTGCAGGTGCGGCACAAGATTCTGCAATAATTGTTTTTGGATGAACTATACAAACGTAGTTTTTAGAATTAGTAGAAAACCTTACGTCTCTAGACGTCTGCCCAACATCTCTGTCAAAACCCTATCCAACCAATTCTCGTTACCTGACAATCTGACACCTAGCTACCAACATAATTCAACCTCCTATCCACCTCCTATCATACAGGATGTATATCAACCATGCTACAAGTTGAACAACTAGCAGAGAACAGGTGTTAGTGTTATATTATAACCTACAAAATGTATAATTTTCAGTCCGAATTCCGGCGACTGTGCAGTTCACCCCACCGACCCATACGCCGACCGTTCCGACCCCATGGGGGTGTCTGGCTCCCCCACCGATCTGTACGCTTGGAGCACCCTGCAGGACCCCCCGAAGCCCAAGGAGGACAGACAACTACCCCCGAGTGTTGTCCCATCCACGTACCCTTGGGGAACATCTACCAGCAGCAGCTTGTCTTCTTCTGATTATCCCACGCAGTTGCTTGGATCCAGGTGAGCAGTTTATTTATTTATTTATTATTTTGGCTGCCCAACAGATAGCACATGCTATCCTATTACAGGGCAGCCCTCAGTAACAAAAATATAATACTTTTAAATCGAAAGTCTATACTACAACTATAACTACTTGACTACTTGGCTAGAATAGTGACATAATGTGAAAATTTGAGGAATATGATTTTTCACAGATTTGATCGGAAAATATAGGATTTTACAATCCGTTTGAACGACCTGAGATTCTGACAAAAAAAGTCGATTTCCTGAATACTCCTGACAAGATTATTGTATGTGAGACAACAACGCAGCGTTGGCGAATTCAATGAGTAGTTTGATCTATACCTATCTATTAATAACATATTTCTATTGCGAAGACCGAAATGGTTACAATTGAAAATACTAAAGACAATATTCAGAGTCGACCATATCATTGACCAAAATAATCTCCCATCTTCTAAGAAGTTGAGATTATAGAAATGTAGGTTTGACTTATACGAATTTATGAAATTTATCAACTTATATTGCACTCTTTCAATACGCGAAGAATATTTAGTATAAAATGGATTCCAGACAATCGTGGAAAACTCCAATATTGGTCTAACAATAACATTATACAATGTTAAAATAGTTGACAAATTTTGAAAGTTTTTGCTCATTCTTGTTATAAATCCAAGATTCTTCATTGCTTTCCGGACAATATAACATCAATTTGATTTTCGAATGACAGTTTCACAACTAATCCCTAGATCTTTCACATTTTCCGATGATTTAAAGTATTATTCAACAGTATTTCTTCATGGGGAGTGATAGAAGAGCGAGACAAATTAATCATCATACATTTGTCAAGATTGACGAGCAGCTTGTCTCTAATACAAAACTCTGAAAAAAGCAGTGATATCATCCTGCAGTAGCTCATAGTCACGGTCACACTTGATCTCTTTGTATATCTTCAAATCATCTGCGAAGCTATAATATTTACTGAAACGAAAACATCTTCCTATATCATTCAAGAAGATGCTGAATAATAAGAGACCCAAATCTGACCCCTGAGGCACCCCGGAGGTGACATCTTCGTTTGTAAAGTTATCATTGTTTATGGCCACATATTGAGTTCTTTCAGATAAATGTAGGATGAGACCAGTTTCAATAGTTTGAGAATTAGATTGGATTAGAATGGGCCTTCGGGCTATAATCTTATGCATTTATGTATAGAACACATTTTATGAAACGACTCTTCTTCATCTTATGTTGTTGTCATGAATATGAATAATAATGGTAACATATCAATACTTGAAACCGACCTATCTACATAATGTAACACAAAGGACTAATAAATCTATCTATCATCATCTATATCTATCTATACAGGGTGTTTCATAATTCAATGTCAATATTTGGGGAGGCGATTCTTTTGGGTCCATTCTAAGAAGACAGTTTCATATGAACGTATGACCTAAACGTCCTAACTTTCGAGATACAGGGTGGCAAAGTTCTCAAAAGTCAAAAGATGGGTAACCGGCAGTCATCCCCTATGGGAGTCTTGTGAGAGAGGGGTGGGAATTGGTCCAACCCGGTTGCTACTCCGGCAACATATTGATTGGCCACCTTCTCTACAAGACTCCATAGGCTAGCTTTTAGATCCCCAGTGAATCTTTGGGCTTTTGGTTTTTTCCCTCACAGCGTAAGAAACCTTAGTCTCGACAAGCCCTCACAGTGGCAAAGAATGTGTACTATTGTTTCCTCCTCTTCCTGGCAATACCTGTACAGCAGTTCTTCAGTCAGGCGTATCGTACTCATGTGTTTGTTGAGCGTACAATTCCCGGTGAGAAATCCCACTAGTATTCTAGTTGAACTTAGTTAGATTTGTTAGGTTAGATTAAAACGGGGCCTTCGAGCTATTTGCCTGCAGAACTCAACCTTATCAGATCTATTTGTGACTGCCCTCGACATCTTCAAGAGTTCTTCTGAATATAACACCACCTTCTCTACAAGACTCCATAGGCTAGCTTTTAGATCCCCTGCGTATCTTTGGGCTCTTGGTTTTTCCTCTCACAGCGTAAGAAACCTTAATCTTGACAAGCCTTCAGAGTGGCAAAGTATATGTGTACTGCTGTTTCCTCCTCTTCCTGACAGAACCTGCATAGCAGTTCTTCAGTCAGACCTCTCGTACTCATGTGTTTGTTCAGCCTACAATCCCAGCGAGCACAGAAACATCTCAGAGATGTTAAAAGTACGAGATTTCGAGACATTGAACCTCCACTGCGATGTTCTGTTCACACATGAATAGAACTATTATAGAACAGCCAATGTCCGCCGCAGGCGGCTATTATCGAGATGTCCTTGATATGTCACAAAACTACCTTCTCCCTACTTCTTTTTGAAGCCTTTTCATGGACACAACAGAACATTTTCAACGCGTCTTGCGCACATTAAATCGCTGTAAAAAAAATCATTTTCGAGGTACTTTTCTGAAGCCTTTTGTCAAAATGAACTTTTGCATTAGGATTCCATTTCCCTTGAATGAAAAAATGCATTAAAAATAGATTGAACATAAAAATATTTTCTTGATATGAAATTACCTTCTTAATCGGTTTCTGAGTAGTGCTTACTGCACACAGACATATAATTGGAAATAGGTTTCCTAATTTTTGAAATGTTCTCCACAATGCATAATTTTGCAACTGCGGAGAAGCTGTGTATTGATAAATTCGTACTTTTATATATTAATTACACGGAGGCACCGAACAACACATCTTGCATCTGATGGTCATTATTGCAAACTAAATAAGTCTTCTAACACAAAATAAACTTCACCAAATTCCTTTCTGTTCGTTAGCAGCGTGATGTAAGCGTGACACGCTGCAAACGCGAATGCCAATTGCGAACAAGAAGAACAAAATCGAAAACAAATCAGAATTCATCGTATTGTGACGAAAGCATGAGACGTTGTGGTGGGGCAAACAAAGAAAGGGCACAAAAGAACAAAAACAATACTTTCAATATCCTTCTAAGACCTCTTTGGGAAAAAAATCCTCATGCCTACATTTCTAAAACATCCCAGAACATCCCAGTGATACCTCTCAGTAGGCAAACAAAGAAATGCCACAGAAGAACAAAAACAATACTTTAATATCCTCCAAAGACCTCTTTGGTCAGTGCATATTACGTCTCAAAATAACATCTTCATGCCAACATTTTCGGAACATCCCAAAACATCCCAGGGATGTTTGTGCTCGCTGGGAATTCTCCGTGAGAAGTCCTACTAGTTCTAGTTGAACTTTGTTTCTGGATCAACATTGAATATTTGCGTTGTTTTTTAATAAACTCCTTTGTTTTTCTCATTCCTGGAGAATTGTTCCAACATTCTTGAGATTTGGTTTGCAACCATGATTCGATGCCTGTTTTTTTGTACTCATCTATAGCGTTTGCAATACCTCAAAAGGGTTCTGGACCATTCAGATCTTTACTTGCTCCTGCTCGAGCAAGTGAATCTACCCTCTGTGTGTGCTCGTACACATGCTAGGGTCAGTATTTATTCAGACTACCCAGTTCATTCTGGGATTCTAAGCAATCCCATACTAGTTTTGAGTTTACTTGCACTGAGCTGACTGATTTCAATAAATTTGTAGTTATGTTATCAGGGTGAGGAAAACTTCGTTCTGATTCTGTTTCAGAACAAGACCAGCTTCCTATGGCCGTGCTAGCACTTGGTCGGATAACAACAATAACGTTCAACAGGTGGCTAGTAATACAGTGAGAATGTATCCAGACGTGGGGACTACAACAAAGTCTACTTGGAGAGATTGGAATTCTGTCCCCAGTTGGAGCACGACCAGGGGACAGCAAAGTACAACAGGAGCAAGTAAGTGAATGTTAATACACCAATGATGTTGATTGAGGATTCACACTATTATTTCTCAACTAATTCTATTCTTTTGAGGCCAGGTTAGGTAGGTATGTGCATCAAGGTGTTCCTTAAAACTAGTGACAATGGATTTCCGAGATTGGCCTACATATGTTTCGTAAATTTTTGAGTTGTACACACTCTGTCATTTGGATGCCTGATAAATTACGTTATAAGCTACATTCAGATTGATAACGCTTTGAAGTCTCAATCTCTGATAAATTGATCAACCTTTTGGGATGGGATGGAGTTGAAATGAAAAGAATGTGGCTTGAATGTATGATTCTCTTTCTAACCATAGTGAAATATAAATTTGATATGTTTCTTTTAAGGTGTGGGGGTTTCAAGAAATACAGCTAGAGTTTACTCTTCACCTTGGAATACTCCATCAACTACTACTGAAACGTGGTATCCGGCCGCAGGCAATCAACTCAACAATGAAGTTGATGAACCGAACCAACTCGGTTTGAAAAAACCTAAAAATTCTGCCGAACGATTTTCTAGGAATGCGATATTGATATTTGTCACTCTATTAAATATATTGGTCAGATGTTATTGAAACATGAAACTGCATGAAAAGATGAATATGAACTTAATAATTGGTGCTTATATAAATATATAGTTATTGATATGGAAGGATGATTATATAATAACTGATTTTTATTCATCATCTACACATCTTCATACCAAAGAAAATTATTCAAGATCAAATGTGGTCTAATATTCATAATAAACCACCAACAATTTTTTATTGAGTTATGTCATGAAACATATATTATATGATATGGGCGATAGTCTCCCGAAAAAAAATAGGGTAAGTTTCAACAAAAATTGAGCAGAAATATAAAAATTTAAAGGATTGAAAATATATGCAGGTATGAAAGAATATCATTTTATAACAGTGAGCTTGATATGGCCATTGGGATAAAACCACTGCTCAGACACTTTCAGATGTGCATTTATTTTGTTTGTCTACTCCATGTCCTCATATTTTTTATGACGTTATTATTATAAATTTCATTACTATGGATGAATTTCTTGAATTTCTCGAAAATTTATGTAACATGAGAAATAATAAAGAATATGACGTCCATACACAGAATAATGTGTTCTTATTGGTAGATATATTATCAGAATAAGGTGTTGCTATTTAAAAAGGTTTAATGGTTCGTACCATGGAACAATCATCTGTCTTCAACTCATATATATTCAATATGAGGTTCAACTTAATGAGTATAATTGTAACTGTTCACTAATTAAATCATTTATAATTTGATACATATATTTTTTTGTTAGTTCATTTTTGTTTCAACTATTTCACCCTTAACAGATGTTCAAGAGAATATATAATATATGTTTTGGGATGCATATAGATTTCATTTTGTGGGAGCTAAAATTGATTCTCAGAAATTATGTAATTCTTTATAGGAATATATAGGTATAGGTATCAACAAGGTAGCCATGGGGTTAAGACATAAAATATTATTAGGGCCTTGAGTAAATTTTTAAAATCAAAATGAGATATTCATAAAACATATTATATATACCTACCAAAGATTTATCTTATTACCTTTATATGATGCACTAGTCAAATGTATAGTCAATGCAAAATTATGTAATATAGGTACCTATAGTAAAAAATACATGCTGAATTATATGAAATTGTAGTAGAAAAGTAGGTATATTGTTAATAAAAATACTGAAATCTATTTTCTTTGTTTTGTGTCCTGGAATCAGAGTTTATACGTGGAATTCTAAAAATGAATATTATTCAATCAACATTTCATAAATAAATTGAATTCAAAGGTAGGTACCTAAGAATTTATTTTAACAGTTCTGAATTGGACGACTTTGGTCTATGTTGTTTATTCAAAATTTATTGAATAGAACGTCTACCACTGTAAATTTGAAAAATACATACCATTTCGAAGTATTTTGTTTTTGTTTCCCAGATCTTGTGACTCAGCTCATTGCAGCTAGACATTGTCAAGTAATTGAAGTAATTTTGGTTTCATTTCTCAGCGTTAACATAAGATGAATGTATCAGAGATTCGATAAATATTCATAAAATATTCGTTAATATATCGTTATTGTTTATCTGACATTCGAGATTCAAATTTCTTCTTTTTCTTCCTTTCGATTTGGATGGCCTTAACTACATGGGCTATCTGGCCATGATTAAAATTTCTTCTTCTTCATCTCGATTTGAATAGGATTCAAATTTCCATTTCACCAAGGTTAATACATTCTTCTTCTTTTCAATAACACTTCAACACTTGGTTTGTTGGAAAATTATGGATCGCGAACAGTATGGATAATGATGTATGAATTACTAAATTGCCAAACCAGTATTGGCAACAATGAATACAATGATTGCTAATGATTGCCAACTTTCCAACATATCAATTTGAAGTTTGCAGTTTGAGCAACATATAAAAACAGCTGATTATTACGATTTACGATGAATGTGGCATAATGAACGTCACGTAATTTTTTTTTAGAAATTTGTGTTCCTACCACTAAATTATACGTGTATACGAAGGTCATTCATTGAATTTCCTTATCCTTTTATTGTTATCTAGTTTGTTGAATAACACAGAGAGGACAAACATCATGTAAGTGAAATTATGAAAGTTCCACTGTCTAGACTGTGGAATATACAATGAAGACATCCGATCCATTAAATTCAGTTTTATATTTATTCTATTGCCATAGTACTTCATAATTTCAATATCAATTGTGTTGTGTGCCATTTGTCGAAATGCACTAGTAAAAATTTACAGGTTCATAGATTTTAAAAATAATATTTCACCTTTGATCTTGGTACTCAAGTTATTGCTTGGTATACAAAACACCATTTTTATCTTTTTATTTGTTGATGAAAAACGATCTTGTTTTAGTTGTCATTGTGGCACTGTGAAGTGTGAGGTCAACATGTCTCACTACAGTGATGCAGAAGACTCCATCAATGATCCTCATGAACTGGAAACAAGCTTGAGAAAACGAAAAATATGGGACCCTGAAACTGAGTCTATCACCTCAGAAATCAAGGATCTACTTGATGAAGATGTTAACTCATTGGTAAGTCTATCACTATCACATTTAAATTGTCACAGTGGATACTATATTATCAGGTATATTATCCATGTTTTGTTTGTTATCCTGATGTGTATGATTCAATGCCTATTGAATTAATTAAGGATACCTTTTGTTTGTACTATCTACATTCACTATGAATAAATTATCTTTGTTACATTTTTGTAAGCTCAATATTGAAATTCCTGATGAAAATTACAATTGAACACTATGAGAAATACCTATAGGCTGGTATATGATATTATTTATCTTTTTGTTTTATTTTGCATTTGCCTACAACAGTAGGTATCTACCTTTACCTACAATTTAATTTAAACTATAGCTATTTCAACATAACATTTTCAAAATGTGTATTGACAAAAATATCCATTTGATGGACTTTGGATGATCTTTATCCATTTTTTTTTCAGGTTGAGGAGGACTTTGTAGGATGTCCCCTACCATCTACCCCTGAGGATGAAAATATTTTGGATTCAGAAATGAGTGAGGTTTTGAAAGCTGCCGTTCTAGGTACAGGTACAGTAGCTAGGTTTCCATTTTTTTTTTGTTTTGTGCCACCCTCATTCTTTGTTGAAGGTAGTATCATTTCATTTTTCATTTTCCATTGTTTTGAATATCATTGTATCATTATATTGCATGATGTAGAGAATGATTCCAGAGGAAAAATTGGCTTATCATCATAATACTGTTTGCATTTCTGACCAAATAACATCAAAATTAAAGTTTGGTGAAATATTTAGAACATTTGATGGAGTATTTTCACACTTTTCAGATGCATCTTTGTTTAGTACCTATAAACCTAAATTTGCCTCAATGATATTTCAAAATCACCTTGTTCAATATCATCTTTGTTGTTATTCTTATCACTTATCTGTTTCTATTCAAGGCAGCTTCAAGCTTCAACGCATATTTGAAATTTTTTTCATAAACTCAAATTTTTCATTATTTCTCCAATTATTCATAAATTCTCTAATTATTCATAAATTATCTAATTTTTCATAAATTCTCTGATTATTCATAAATTCTCTTTATCATAAACCTGCTTCTCCATAAATTAGCTAATTCATTATTAACATTATTTTTTTGAGGAGAAAAACTGAGGGTTTTCAGCCTATGAGCTATTTCAAAATCACCTTGATTCCTTATCATTTTTCATTTTTTTTTTCAAGGCAGCTTCAACGAATATTTGAATGATTTTGCATTAATTCTCCAATTTTTCATAAATCCTCTACTTTTTCATAAATTCTCTAATTATGAATATTGTTTCATGAGGAGAAAAACTTTTACTGTTTTCAGGCAATGTTGATGATTCTTATCACTATTCTGTTTCTGTCCAAGGAAGCTTCAAGGAACAGTTTAGAAAATTTTCAATAAATCCTTGAATTTTTCATGAATTCTCAAATGTTTCATAAATTCTCAGACCATTAATAAATTCTCAAATTTTTTATAACCTGCTTTTTCATAAATTCGCCAATTCATTATTAAGATTGTTTTTTGAGGAATTAAACTTTTTCAGTTTTCAGCCAATGAGCTATTTCTAAATCACCTTGATTCTTATCATTTTTCTGTTTTCATTTAAGGCAGTTTCAAGGAATATTTGAATGTTTTTTTCATAAATTCTCCAATTTTGCATAACTTCTCAGATTTCTTCATAAATTTTGAAGTTTTCATAAACCCTCTACTTTTACATAAATTCTCTAATAATTATGAATATTGTTTCATGACGAGAAAAACTTTTACGGCAATGTTGATTGTTGATATTCTTATCACTATTCTGTTTCTGTTCAAGGAAGCTTCAAAGAACATTTTAGACAACTTTTAATGAATCCTTGAATTTTTCATGAATTCTCAAATGTTTCATGAATTCTCAGATGATTAATAAATTCTCTAATTTTTTATTACCTGCTTTTTCATAAATTCGCCAATTCATTATTAACATTGTTTTTTGAGGAGAAACTTTTACAGTTTTCAGCCTAAGAGCTATTTCAAAATCACCTTGATTCTCATCATTTTTCTGATTTTATTCAAGGCAGCTTTAACGAATATTTGAGTGATGTTTCATAAATTCTCTAACTTTTCATAAATTCTCTAATTATGAATATTGTTTCATGAGAAAAACTTTCACGGTTTTCAGGCGATGTTGATGTAGTTGATTGCTGATATTCTTATCACTATTCTGTTTCTGTTCAAGGAAGCTTCAAGGAACGTTTTTCATGAATTCTCTAATTTTTCATAAATTCTCCGATTATTCAGAAATTCTCTGCTCTTTCGTAAATTCTCTAATTCCTCATAAACATTGTTTTTGAAGAGACGAACTTTCACTATTTTCAGGCGACGAGCTGGATATCTCTGCGCTGGCGCACAATGCAGCCTCGCAAGCGGAACACGTGGTCCGCAAGATGATCCAGGCTGGATGGTCGGTGTGCCACTTCAGGAACCTGCCCGGATGGCTGCAAGACAACGACTTCCTCATTTTCGGCCATCGGCCGCCATTGCCCAGCTTCCGCGCCTGCTTCAAGAGCATCTTCAGGCTGCACACGGAAACGGCCAACATATGGACGCACCTATTGGGCTGCGTCGCCTTCATCGGTGAGTTTCATGAGAAATCTTCTGATATTTCATAAATTCTATAATTTTTCATAAATTCTCTAATCGTTCATAAATTTCATAATTTTTATAAATTCTCTAATTTTCCATGAATTCCCGAATTTTTAATATATTCTCTAATGTTTCATAAATTCTCGAATATTCATAAATTCTCAAACCATAAATTCCTATTTTTTAGTAATTCTCTCATTTTTCGCAAATGTTTCAGGAATTCTCTAATTTTGTATTAATTCTCTAGTTCTCCATAACTTCTCTATTCTTCCGGAGATCCTATAATTTAATTTTACATAAATTCTAGAATTTTTCATAAATTGTTTCATATATTCTCCAGTGTTTCATAAGTTCTCTTATTCTTCATCAATCCACCATCAATTCTCGAATTTTTCCTAAATTCTTCAATGTTCTATGAATTCTCTACGTTTTCATAAATTCTTGGGCTGAAAGATTTGGGTCAATGGCATTTTGGGATATATCCCTAATAAATTCTTCAATATCCCATAAATTCTCTGACTTTTTGAAAATTCTCCAATTTTTCATAAATTCTCTTAGTTTTTCATGAATACTCATTTATTATTTCATTATTTATCATATTATATTTCATTTATTCTCTAATATTCCATATATTCTCTAATATTTCATTTATTCTCTAATCTATAGGAATATTATAAAGAGGAAAGATTTGTTTGTTTGTATGTATTAAATAGGCTCCGAAACAACTGGATCGATTTGGGTGAAAATTGGTGGGGAGGTAGCTTAGAACCAGGAGAAGGCTATAGGATACTTTTTATCCTGGTACCATTAGGAAATTCAAGATGGCCGATCTAATATACCGGACGAGTTTTGATTTTATGGTCCGATTCTATTCAAAATTGATATCTGAGGGTTTTCTGGGTCGGAGATTACGATTCTTTCGTCAGAATTTGAAAGTTCGGGCGGAATTTGGAAATTCAAGATGGCGGAACCAATATGGCGGACGAGTTTTGTAATTATAATCCGATTCTTCTCAAAATTGGTACCTAGGAATTTTCGTGATCGGGGATTATGATTCCTTCGTCAAAATTAAGAAATTCAAGATGGCGGATCCAAAATGGCGGATTTTGTAATCAGGATCCGATTTTATTCAAATTAGGTATCTGGTGGTTCTTGGATTCGGAGATTATGATTCTTTCGTCAAAATTTGGAAATCCAAGATGGCGGATCCAATATAGCGGACGAGTATTGTAATTATGATCCGAATCTCTTCAAAATTGTTACTGGGTGTTTTCGGGGTCGGACATTATGATTCTTTTGTCAAAATTTGGAAAGGGCGGGATTTGGGAATTCAAGACGGTGGAACCAATATACCCGACGAGTTTTGCAATTTGTATACCGATTCTATTCAACATTTTTATTTGGCGTTTTCGGGATCAAAAATTATGATTCTTTTGTCAAAATTAGGGAATTCAAGATGGAAGTTCCAATATTGCGGATGAATTTTGTAATTATGTTCCGATTCTGTTCAAAATTTTCATCTGGGGTTTTAGGAGTCGTTTATTATGATTCTTTCGTTAAAATTGGGAAATTCAAGTGAACTAAAAAGAAGTTGAAATAAATGGTAGTTTGAATAACTAAAGAATAACGCTTTTATAGATAGCAAAACCGAAAAGAAGTAAAAAATAAGATAATAATAGTGTCTTGATGAATATTGAACTGAAAAAATATATTATAAATTCTCTAATATTTTATAAAATCTCTAATTTTCCATGAATTTTTTGATTTGTCAGAAGTTCTCCAATTTTTCATGGATCCCTCAATTCTCCATAAATTCTCTATTTTTTTCCTTAGGTATCGCCATTTACTTCTTGATGCGGCCCGTCATCGAGATCGAGCTGCAGGAGAAGATCGTGTTCGGCGCCTTTTTCGCCGGTGCCATCATCTGTCTCGGATGCTCTTTCATGTTCCACACCGTCAACTGCCATTCTCAGTTCATAGGCAAGCTGTTTTCCAAGTTGGACTATTGCGGCATCGCCTTACTCATCATGGGATCCTTCGTGCCGTGGTTGTATTACGGCTTTTACTGCCATTTTAGGCCGAAAGTTGTTTACCTGTCGGTGAGTTAGTTGTTTCATGAGTTCTCTGATATTTTGTGTACCAACGGAATGCTGCTGCTGCTGCTGCTGCACTTTGGTGACACTTGCCATAAATCAAAAGCATATCAACAAGTTCATTATTTTCGTAAACATGCTGCATTGTTTGACAATACACAGAGAAAATGATTGAGACAGAGGGTTGGACACTAGAAAAACAAAATTCTACTGTGGACGGTAGTAGGGGACAGGGATCAGTCGGTTTATTATCGAACAGAGATTCGTGCGGCCAGGACCGTAATGAATTTCTTTCAAAATGCATGAAATGTTCTGGATATTTCAATGAAATCTACTTCCTCTTGAAAAACAAATAAATGTCTCACCTTTGAGAACATACTTCATTTGCCATAAAATTCGTATTCCTATGAACATTTTTGTGCGTATTCGGTAGGTATGAGAATCAGTCTAAATCTATTTCTCAATTCAAAAATTCAAGATGGCGGATCCAATATGGCGGACGAGTTTTGTGATCCGTTTTTATTCAGAATTGGTATCTGGAGATTTTCGAAGTCGGAGATTATAATTTATTCGTCAGAAATTGGAAATTCAAAATGGTGGATCCAATATGGCGGACGAGTTTTTTAATTATGGTCCGATTCTTTTCAAAATTGCCGTCTGGGGGTTTTCGGGGTCGGTGATTATGATTCTTTCGTCAAAATTAGAAAATTCAAAATGGCGGACCTAGTATGGCGGACGAATTTTGTAATTATCAAAAGATTCCATTCAAAATTTGTAACTGGGGATTTTCGGGATCGGAGATTATGATTCTTTCGTCAAAATTTGTAAACTCAAGATGGCAGATCAAATATGACGGACAAGTTGTTTAATAATCATCAGTTTCTATTCAACATTTGTGTCTGGGGTTTTCGGGGTCGGAGATTATGATTCCTTCGTCAAAATTAGAAAATTCAAGATGACAGATCCAATATGGCGGACGAGTTTTGTAATCATGATCCAATTCTATTCAAAATTGGTATCTGGGAGTTTTCGGGGTCGGTGATTATGATTTCTTTTTCAAAATCGGGAAATTGAAGATGGCTGATCCAATATGACGAACGAGCTTTGTAATTTGTATTTGTATTTATTTATAGTGTTACTACATTGTAAAATGTTTACACTCGTCAATATATGTAAAAAAAATCGTTTGAAAATAAATAGATAAATGAAAAAAATAAAATAAAGGAAATAGAATAAATAACAATTAACATGATCACATTGGTCAAACAAACATATACGCTTATTTCTATAAATATCACAATTCAGTATTGTTAACTAAAAGCTTTATAAATCTATATCATGTCATGTGTCAATAAGGCTGTGAATTCCTGAATAGAGTAGAAACATTTTCTGATCAGATATTTCTTTAATTTACATTTGAAGGGCATTAAATTTAATTTCTTCATATCTTCAGGTAATTTGTTGAAAAAAGTCGGACCATAGAAATTGAAACCTTGTTGAGATTTCTGAAGTCTATTTGTAGCAATGACAATATTATTGTTATTTCTCGTATTGTGAGAATGGATATCAGAATTTTGTTTGTATTCAGTCAAGTGCTCTTTCACATAAACCAGGCATTGATAAATGTACATACTAGGCAAACTAAGGAAATTATATTCAATAAATAGGTCTTTACAATGTGCCCTGGGACTTGAGCCTGATATAATTCTAACTGCTTGTTTTTGTTGCCTAAAAAGGTTTTGCATGTTCGCGCTGTGTCCCCAAATCAGAATCCCATATTGCAAGTGACTATTTATGAAAGCAAAGTATGCCATTCGCATCAAATCATGTGATACCGATCTTCTCATAATAAATAGTATTTCAAGAAACTATAAGTAAACATGCTTTGAAAGATAGCTAAACTAGAGGCCAAACTGAAAAGAAGTAGAAAATAAATAGTAGTTTGAAAAATTAATGAAACACGATTTTATGTATAAAATGTATAAATTGAAGTTTTAAAAACTAATGAAACACTCATTTATAAGAGGCCAATCTATTAATTCAACTAAATCACGAAACTTTCTTTCTATCTATTTCTAAACTATCTTATAGTTCATCAATCCTCAGAAAACTCATGGAAAATTCATGAATTCTTCAATTATTTATAAGTTTTTTGAAATTCCATGAATTCTTTAAAATTTAATATATTCTCTAAAGTTTCTCAAGATCTCCGAACATTCATGAATTCTCTTTTATTTCACAAATTCCCTAAAATTTCATAAATTCTTCGAGCAAAAAGTATCTCGGACGGCTCGTATTTAATTCTAATATTCCATGAAATCTCTAAATTCCACTAATTTACCAAACTCGTTGGTTCCATGAATTTTTTTTATTTCTTTGAGAGTTTATAATTATCTAATAGTTCATAAATCCTAAAATTGTATGTATGCATCTTCTGAAAATTCCTGATTCTATGAAATCTCATGAATTCTTAAATTCTTCATAAATTCTCTAAAATTTCATAAATTCTCTAAAATTTCATAAATTCTCTAAAATTTCATAAATTCTCTAAAATGTTATATAATCTCTAAGATTTCATAAATTCTCTAAAATTTCATAAATTCTCTAAAATTTCATAAATTCTCAAAATTTTCATAAATTCTCTGAAATTCCATAAATCCTCTGAAATATCCCTAAAATCCCATGAATCCTTCCGATAGGTCGTATGCGCCTTGGGCATCACCAGCATCATGGTCAGCCTGTGGGACAAGTTCTCCGAATCGGGTTGGCGGCCGTTTCGCGCCGCCGTCTTCATGACCTTCGGCCTCAGCGGCATCGTGCCCGCCATCCACTACGGCATCGTAGAAGGCTGGTTCAACTACGTCAGCCAAAAGTACCTCGGCTGGCTGGTACTGATGGGCGTACTGTACATCATCGGCGCGCTGTTCTACGCGCTGCGCGTGCCCGAGCGGTGGTTCCCCGGCAAGTGCGATATTTGGTTCCATTCGCACCAGATTTTCCATGTTTTCGTGCTAGGGGGCGCGCTGGTGCACTATCACGGGATATCGGAGATGGCGATGCATCGGGTGACGATCGGCAGGTGCGAGATGTCTGATTCGCCGATTTATTGATGATTTTTTTGTTAGGTTATAGCGGGGGGGAGGGGGGTTGTTTAGTTCAGTTGGTGTCTATTTAGTCAACTCTGTCTTCTTCTCGGTCTTAGTCTCCCTTCTAATTTTAGTCTGTAAGCCAAATTGATTATACACATTCGCATAAGAGCATTCCTTCGATATCGGCCAAACCGTCGGATATACCGGGTGACACAGGAGCCAATAGCCTGTAGTTTTTCTATTTGAAGAGATAAAAAATTAAAATTCACAAGGGTTATATCATCGGTGATGACGCTTCCCTTGAACCTAATGACAATTTTCTTCAACCACCTGTTTGATCGGAAGTAGACCCAACTTTTTTTTTTTCGAATGGCACCCTGTATATTTCTGTAGCGTATCTCATTTGCCTTGAAATTCTCTATTCAAGTATGCATCACAATTCGATATTCGTTCATTAATTGGCTGTTAAATTGCATTTTATTGAAATACATGAAGTTGGCTGTGACCCGAATGCAATAACATTTCAATGCTTGATGGGCTTAAAATTCTAAAGATCATTACTAAGACGATATTATCAGAATATTTTCCATACCTCAATCGCTCCCAAAAGATTGCCAATAATTTCATTGAGTTTGAAAAAATCATCCGAAGATAACTCACGATATTGAGAAAACCAAGATAGAAACTCAGTTTTTTTCATTTGGCTACCATTAAAAAAAAAAACATCTTCAGCCAATATCTTAGAATTCGAACACCCTATAGATATGAAATTAATTTTAGGTGATGGTTCTCATGAAACCCTATAACTATTGTATTTGAATTTTTTCTATACAGGGTGTTAACAAATAAGTGTCACAACGGAAAACCTCCTTTTTCTATTAGATGATGATATCACTTGGGGGGATAATGTTGGAGGAGAGTGATGGCAGATTGATGTTGATGGTAATGGAGATGGCGGTAGCAATTGAGGTGAAGGTGGCTCTTCTTCTGCTTCTACTTCAACTACTCGTTCTTCAATTTCTGTCGCTTTCTCGATTATCATTTTTGATGTTATGTTGTTATGATCAACAGTTGTCAGTTCGAGGTACGCTCTGACAAGAGAACCTTTTATAGATTTTTTCTGTAACAGAAACGATGTTTCGTGATTTTCGATCACGTGTAATAAATGTCGAATCATTCTCTGGTCCTTCTTGTAGTTTTTATAACGGAGCACCTCCTCCACAGCGTTTTTAACGACACCTCGTAAGCGAAGGCCACCCTCTTCCTCTTCGCGTTCCGTCACCTCTTGGATCTCGTGCAATTCCACCATTTTTTCTCTGATGATGTTGCACATACGCAACATCTTCTGAGAATAGTCGGCAGGGTCCACTCCCCTACCTTTCCCGACCAAGTGCCGGACAGACATCTGTTCTAACGTCTGGCAATCTGAAATACATCTAGAACCTAGATTGCTCATGACAAAAGAAGCATTTTTTTCCCTTTCGAAATTTTGAAGAGGGAAGAAATGTTTCTTTCATTATGAGGAATCTACAGTTTTCCGTTTTGACACTTATTTGTTAACACTCTGTATATCTGACGGTTTGGATAATATCGACGGAGAATACAGTATTGTGTGCTAAAAACGTGACCTTGAGAGTTTCCGATTTACAACTTCAATGCTTAGGACTAAGACCATAACGTCAGTGCGCATGCTCAGTACGTACTGCATGATGGCCAATAAAATTCAAAGGCCCCACTGAAGTGTCATTTGTCAAGTTCAAAGTTCTAATATCATGAGTTGTATAAATAGGCATGTCCACATACTGGGACTAGGACTGAGACTTGAGCTGAAGACAAAGTTGACTAAATAGACACAAAACGAACAAAAAAATAGGGGAAATTAATCGTGTAGTCGCATATTTTTGTAGGAGTGGTAGGGGGGAGTACCATGAACACCATACAACGTGGGGTGTGTTTTTCATTTCCACAATTAGTGATGCACATGAATCGAAAAAAACATCGATCTGTTGCAAAATATCGCTATACTGTTGATGGAAATCTCGGAAACTGTTGTTTGTTATACGACTTCATTGAAGAAAGCTGTATCATTATACAGGGTGTCCCGAAATTACATAGAAAGATTTCAACCACAGATTCTAGGAACAGAAATTGTGAAAAAAGTTCATATAAATAAACATGGGTAAAGAAATGGCCCCCTGAGGGATTATAGCCATCTGAAGGGGAGCCCGAGATGATTGTTCTTCGTAAATACACTCACCGACAAAAAAAAACGGCCACAAAATCATTTAGCCAAATTGTTTGGTCTGTAACTTTTTCAATTCTGGTCCGATTTTGGTGAAATTCGGACCAAATCATAGACTCATGTAGTTACATTATTAAACTAGATATAGGAAGGCCGATTTCAGTGCCTCGAGCACAATTTTTATCACAAACTCAATGATTTGCAGTTATTTTCATAAGAATAGATAATTTTTGCTAAAAAAATATCTAGCCACTTTTCAAAGATGACCATTTTTGAGAAACACCTTGTAACTCCTAAACGAAGGCAAATATGGATATGCGGAAGAAACACAAAAGAAGATGAAGAAGGAAACAAAAAATATTGAGGAATTTTTGCAACTGCCTGCCAATGTGTGCTTTGTATGTAATAATCCAAAGACAGACGTCAAAACAATATTATTATTCGTCCATAGATTTTCGTTTTTTTTACAATAACAAATATTGAATCAGTTTTTCCATTCCATTTTTGTATTGTTCATGGCACTTCCCTTTATTATTATTGTAGAAAAATTTACCACTACAAGATTCATTTCCTCTATTTGCCTTTTTTTGGCCTTTGTTGATTGAACTACTTTGTTTGTTAGGACATGCAAATTTGATGTGTTTTTATACGATTGCTTACTAGTTGTTTTTATGCAACATTAAATTATTTATCATGTTGCAGTTGCACTTTGGTTGGTTCCTATTGAACGGTAACGGGTAAGGTGAAATAGAAAAATCTAATTAGCTCACGACACTTGGTATTAAGTCTGCTGATTTTGGATACGTCAAAATCCTATTCATATGATCATTTTATCAGGATTTGGAAAGGAGAAAAAAATACTTTGATCCTTTAGTTATTATGTACTCTGTGGAGAAGAGTTTACTCTTTTGCGTTCGAAATTTTTGTCAGATTGTGTTGTATATTTTGGTCTGTCCGTTCTATCTCGAAAATTTTAATTTCTGACGTTTACTATTTACAGATCTCCGATTTTATTTCCTACTACATGATTCTTCCTGGCCATTTTGTCATAGATGAAAATAACACTAATTTTTTCTTATTATTTTATGAATTGACTGAACCTAACAGCTTGACAAACAAAACCCACATTTTCAATGTCAATCTCAGATGACACATTAACTTAAAATTCGGTTCGAATACTACATAGAACAGTGGCGGCTCGTGACTTACATGCCAGAGGAGGCTGAATGATATGAGATTTATTGTGAAAAACAACTGTCTAGGACTCACCCAAATCAATAGCTTTAATGACATTCTGTTTACCAGTTAACCTGAACATAATACTTGAAGAGATGTGTTCCTGTGATTTGCAGTGTCTATCCAATCCGCGAGGCAATTTTTCAAATCATTATATCCCAATCGCCCCCAACATGATGACTTATCGGTTGAAAATAATATGCAGTACCAACAAAATAGCTTATTCTTTACCTCAGATCCCGTCAACCAGATATATTTTTAATAATTATCAGAATTGAACGAACGATTTTGTTTGTTACCTGTTACAATGAGATTTTTTAATTTCGGTGTCGGACGTTTGTTTCTCACAATCAATTTATCTTCATAAGACAAAGCACTGAATGGGTTCACCAAAAAGTATTCCACTAAATCGCAATCGTTTAAAACCATTTCAAAACACTCATTTTTCAGAAATGTATAGAGCCCCTAACCAGTAACATTAACCTAACATAAACAATGCACTCGCGCTGGATTGTCCGCAATTCGCGACGCGACACGACAAACACGTGCTATTCGGGAATTTGCATTGCGCATTGTGAAGGAGTCTCTCCTCCTATAGATGTTGCCAAGTTGAATATTTCACGCGTGATTTGCAGACTTCAACGTGTGATGCGTGGGCAAGCACTGTTGCCAATTCAAAAATATTTACCTAAAAACAGGAAATAAAATCAAAATCCATGTATTTTGGTGTCCTTTTAAAGAGAAAGTATAGATAATATCAGTTCAAGGAGAATCTCTGAGGATGCTCAGCCTCCGTTGCCTCCTCTGAGGAGCCGCCACTAACATAGAACAGTAATAATTAACAGATAAAACCTATTACTAAATTTACTCTGGAAGTCAATTACCGAATGCATCCATGAACAAATTTTGAAAGGTAATTATTGGTGACATTGAAGCATTTTTCTAATTCAACTTAAGTATTTTCTTGGTGTGTGATTAAAATGTACTTATGATTATTGAAATTTTTTGAACATTCACTTTTACAATTTGCTGGAATGTAGTGAAAAAAGTAACTCTCGCACTATTAGCCGTTTTTACAAGATTTCTGAAAATAAAATTAATTCCGTGTTTTGAAAAACAGAAATTGGTACAAATGTAAATTTTTCCAATATCAACGGAACTATGGAAAACAATTCTTGGAGTGACTTTTTTATATTTTTTGCTTCTGAATTCAGATATTTGAGGTTTTTTTTGATAAAATGCATAAGGACTATTTCAAAATTATGACAGATTTAGCTAGCAACGTTTCATACGATTTTGATAAATCAAACAAAATGTATTGATTAAATATCTTAAAACTTTTTTGATGAACTGAAAAAGAAACATATTTTATATTTTTCTCTTCTAAATCCAGTGTTTTTCTTAATTCAACGATGTGATTGATGAAATGTGTAAAACTTATTTCAAAATTATAACAGAGCTAGGTAACAACCTTTTTGATGAATTAAAAAAGAAAATTATTGAATAAAAATACTTTTAAAATTTTAAAATACACTTCAAACTGATTTTTCTCTATCTTTCATTGGTGAATTGATTTTGACATGAAAATTGGACAGAAAAAGCTTGCGCTGTTTTTTATAACATATATATCTCAATTTCGACATAGAAAGGATTTTCAGTCATTCATTGCAGTGGATTAGATGATCCTTATTTGGCGGGTGTTGATCAAAAATCAAAGTGTTGAAGAAGTCAGACTATTGAGAATTACAATCTTCTATTGCAAACAGTCTAGGAAACAATTGAATTCACATCAAATTTGAAACTAACAAACATTATTTTACCGTTCCTGTTATTTTTACTAGATAGTTGTGGGGCTAAATTAACTATTATATGTTTCTGTTATATTACATATTGTGAGGCATACAGGGTTAGTCATTAGTGTGGCAAAGTGAGATAACGGCTTTACTGTTTGAGATAGATGAACAAATATTTCAGAGCAGCACATTTCCAAATTATTTCGCTTTATACAGGGTAACTCAGAAATGCGTGGCGTATCAAAGTTATACTTTTTCTTATGGGACACCCTGTATTTCATTGCATTTTTGCATTCTCCTTTGTGAGCTGATTCCATCAATGCATCACACTTGG